GACGTGAGAAACGTATTCCATCCCTTAATGGTCCTTAACATACGTGTAACTTCTATTTCTGTTATGTTAAGAAGTTGATTAATGGTTCACGTGCAAAATAAACTTGTAAACTGTGTGCGGTTGTGTTTTTAAAGTGTGTGTGTGTTAAAAATGAATGCAGACAGTGTTGTGAGTCATCTGCTCGTCTCGTCTCTGTCTGTCACTCTCGATGCTTCCCTGCAGCCTCGGCCCGCATGTTTGTGTGTGAGAGTGTGTGTTGTTGTTGGGTGTTGTGTGTCCGTGCAGAGTCCAGCTGCACGATGAATGTGCTCTGTGAGCCAAGAGGACATAGAGTCCTCGACACACCAGCAGGACCAACGCCTCGGCAGCAGAGAGAAACTCCCCACAAATCACCCACAAGTATTTCACATCCAGAGTTTGACATCTTTCTGTTTCCGTCCATCGGGAGGACGTCATCAAACAGTTTGATCTTATCCACGTCTGCATTTTTCTTTGAGTTACAGTCTCCTAAAGCCGCTCAGTGCCCCACATAACCAGGAGAACCAGACTGAAAGAAATGATTGTGTGGAGATGTGCGTGACTTGGATTAGTGTGTTGTTCAGTCGCATAACTTTTCGATAATTCTCTGTAGAGTCTGATCTTTGACCTGCAGTCTGGACGTTTACAAATCAACTCCATTACTGTTTAAAATGCAACTTTACTTATGGGAAACCTTTAAAACAGCCTCAGAAGCCTGTGAGGAGCGTCTATAAACTTAAACACGAGGATTTCATTTGGAAAACGACTTTAGATTTTGTAGATTAACTCAACTATTTCCTTTGACGTACCTTATTCAGAGAGAGTTATTTATTCATAAAAACAATAAAATAGAAATGAGATTTAGACTCAATCTCAAAGAAACGTATATGAATTAAAATGTTATGTTGGACATATCAATAAATCATTCTCAACAAACACAGACAGACTTTAAAAACAATAAAAATGTTCACACAGAAGAAAAATCACTTGAAGTTTTTGTCTAAATATCCTGAAGGGACATTTAACATATTTTTCATGCCACAGTCAGTTTGCTTGTCGTGGTTAGTTTAGATGTAAAGTTGGTTAAGTCGTGGTCAGTCTATAAAAACTAAAAAAGATTTAATATGGCAGAAATCTTGGCCACAAACAGTTTAAAATAACTTGTAACAGGCAGGTTCACCGAGACACTGTCCATTTGCATTGTGGGAAATGTAGGATTTAGTGATCATGGAGCTTGAGTCAAATCCAGAATATTTCAGCCTCAGTTTTCCTCCATCGCAGCTTCTCTTCGTTTTTTCTCTCTGTTCCACTCTTTCTCTCCAAGTTTCACTTCTTCTCTACATCCTTTCTCTTTCTGCTTTTAGTTGTCCCTCGTCTTTGTCTCAGGTTAAAAGACATCTTTCTTTCCCCTCCTGTTTAAACCTTGCCTTCTTCTTCCTCCCCTTCCTTACCCCCTCTCTTCTCCGACTCTCTTCATTACTTTTCAAACCGACTCAATCATTCACTCCTCTCTCTCTTTCCCTTCACAAACTCCCTCCTCTTTTCTCCCGCTCCAAATTAAAATTCTGACGCTCTCCCTCTCCCACTATTTGTTTTGCCCTCCCTTTATATCCCGTGTCAGTCTCTCTCACCCCCGACCGCCATTGCTTCTGCTCGCCTTGCTATAACCATGGAAACAGAGGAGACCACGTCACCATGGCAACATGGGAATAGCCCGGGTCTGAGGCTTCCTTTGTGCTGCCAGAGGAGAAAGAAATGTGGAGAAGAAGAGCAGCAGGCAGGACGGCAGGCGCCTAAGTTACATGCAGGCACGGTCGTCTGGGGTCCTGATGTTCATGTGAATTATCATTGCTGCAGTCACACACACACTAAACTGAAGAGACCTCTCGATACCCGTGGGTCTCACTCTTATATTGATGTGTAATTCAAAACTCGGATCCTTCAGCTCTCGTTCTCAGAAACAGAAAATCGAGCGGCTGTCGGTTGGTTCCGTTGCTCATCGGGCAGATCGGACCGGAGAGGCTGAATAACAGAGTCCGGTCAGGACGGCCGTGTCTCTCTTGACTCTCCAGGGTGAATTCAGAACGCATCTCATTACAAAGCTGCCTGTGTTTCCTCGTCTCTGTTTCAGTGACTTCAGCCTGATCCCACCTCTGTCTGTGGAGAGCTTTTCCCTCCTGCTGCTTTTATTTCAGTGTATTTATACATATCGTTGTCATGAATGTGATATTTCAGCATAAACGAAGCACAAAGGTTGAAATTATTCGATTATCGTCCATGAATCAAGATTTAAGATACGCTAATTATGAATTCATTCACATAAATAATGACATTTTGTAGTGAAAAGGTCAAAAGTCAACTTCAGCATTAGAATGTTTCGGAAAATGAATATTCCACAACACCTATTGACATCTTCCTAATCTATACTGTGTGTCCTGTTGTGCACGAGCAGCTTAATATATTCAACGTCCACATTCCAGCCTCAGCTTGAATGGAAATTGAGGTCAACGTAAACAAATCATGTAAAGTGTAATATCATCACAATGTGCCTCACGGCTGAGTGAGCGCTGGACACGCCCGAGAGAAACTGGATGTTACCAGAAACGTGAACCTGTTTACAGAGGGAATCTGGCAGCATCACTGTCACACAGGAGCCGAGAGCGATTACTCTGCTCGTCAGGACAAGTCAAAGAGTTCAATCAGTTTGAATTCCATCAAATTAGACGATGAAGTGTCGGATCTAGTCTTTTAAAATGTGCGGAGTCAGTCTGGTTACTAAATAAAAACTCTTTTCAAGTTATGACTCCAGATATTATCCAGAGGGCCTCGGTCGGAGCTGGTCGGAGAATTCACTGCAAGCTATAGTGCAACATATGGACGGGTAGCAGCAACAAATATAAATAAATATTACCTGAGTACGTTATTTGAAGCATTTGCCATGAAACCTTATTTTGAAAACATGTTTCTCGATGCTCTCCCACCAGCAGCTTTTGGAAATGCACATTTCACTCAGCAGAATTCTGGCAGCGTTAACAAGGTGTCGCCTGCACTTTGAAGCTCGGGTGGTTTGTGGCGGCGCCAACGTTAACTCAGCCGCTACCTGCTGCCGTCAGATTCTAAAGATCTCCTTGTAAAAGTGTGACTCACTGACTCAGACGCTGCCAGGAAACCTCCCGGACTAACTGCCTCTTCTAATAAATCTAATTATAGATAATAATCTTCAAATCTTTTTTTTTTCTTCACCCTTTCAAAGGTGTTGTCCGTTGTGTTTTTGCCAAACACACAGTTATTCTCCCACACTAACTCGGTGGTGTGATGTTCCAGGACACATGTTCCCAGAAGTTGAAAAGTTCGTCCTCTCAGAGCGTTCATTTAAAACACATCGTATTTAACTCCTCTCGTCTGCAGAAGAAGAAAATCAAGCTTTTAAAATTTAGATTTTCTGTTTTTCAGCTTTTTTAATTTGTTCCTTTACTTTTCTGGTTTGCTCAGAAAGAGTTGGGTTTGGATCACGACAATAATGATGAATGTGGAACTAATGTAAAAACACAAGTTTCATCTCCTTCTTCCACGTCTCCTCTCAGATCTGGGATTCACAGAAAGAGCCTCGGAATGTTCAAGCCCAGAATCTTCTTGCTGTGAGACAACAGTGCTGACCGCTGCACCACAGTGCCGCCCTGTTTTTTTAATCATTTTCCATTTCTCTCTAGTAAAACTCTTGAAGATACCAAATCACGTTTGATTTTAAATGTCACCACAATATTCCAACCTCCAATTCTACGAAGACATAGAGTTGAGCGATTTTTATTTGATTTGATCAAATTCACCAGTTCACTTTCAAGCTATTTATAAATTTGTTGAAGTTGTTTCATGTTGCATGTTTCTCTGCAAGCGCTCGGCTTGGTTTACACTTTTCACACTCTTTCTTTTAATCTATTATTATCTTACTTTCAAACTGGGAGCATGTGTAGACGTGTGTGCATGTGACCAACACACACACACAAACTTGATAAAAAAATGATACCAGGTCCTTTGTTACACTCTGAAACTCAAACTGAGCTGAAGCTGAATTTACAGATTGAAGAAGAACGACACGCGGCTGAGAGCTCGTCTTAAAACCAGCTATAGAAGCCGGTGATGATAAAGCCAGATATCTGAGGAGCAGGTTTCTCCTGTGACCAGATACAGACGCTCAGAGACTCTGACACATTAATGCTGTAGATCTGGAAGCATCTGCCCACAGGAAATCCATAAAGTGCAGGAAATACATGGAAATATCATTAATGCTCTTCGTACATGCTGTGGACTATATAAGAGCATGATTATACAAACACAATGCACGAGCAGAAATCTCTCTCTGATCTGTAGGCGATGACATTCACCCTTCACCCTGTCCTGACCCACATGTTTCCAGGGGGAAGTCGGCTTTAACTGTCCTGTCACAGCCTCTCGACTCCAACTGCCCATCCCCCATCAATTTGCACACCATCAGTGGAACAATAGCAGCAAATGTATAACAGATCACATCGAACGCAGATAAAAGATAAAATAACAGAAAGACGGGTGAAAAGAACAGCAGCACTTATCAAGCTGCAGATCTTCCCTCCTTCCACCGTGGAGGAGGAGAAGCTATTATAACGTACGACCGGTGAGTCAGTACAGGAGCGGGGGAACCCTGGGTTCTCCAGAGAACTGAGTAACCTACATCTCTCCTCCATGGTCTGCTGCTGCTGTGAGTAAGAGACGAGGAGAAGGAGGCGAAAAAGGAAGGACAGCGGCAGAATGGAGGAGTCAGGGAGGTGTCGACTGAGAAAGATCGGCTCCGCCCTTGACCTTTGACCTCTGCGTGTGAGGAGGAGGAACATTTTACCGCCACGACCAGACTTGTCTCTCGTCCCTGTGACATTTATTTCTCAGGACAAACGCCTTTAATGACATTTAAAGTTTCTAAAGACAGAAAGACTTTAGGGTTTTCTTCTTACCTGCGACACGAACCACCGCCCTCTCCGCCGGGTCCAGCACCGAGTCCTGGCTCTTCCTCTTCCTCCTCTCGTGTTTGGACAGGTTCCATGGCAGAGTGTCTCCTGGAGGCCCCACAAGCCCCGATGGACACGGGGACAACGACCCCCCTGAGCGCTCGCTACGGAAGGACGGCTCGCTGACGCAGGAGCGCTCGCTCAGAGTATCATCGTCTGACGACTCCATCTCACTTCAGGGCTGCAGGGAGGAGAGGGAAAGAGGAAGAGGAAGGGGGGAGCAGTGGAGGAGGGGAACACCAGGGTGAAAAGAAAGGGAGCAGAAGAATTGAGGAGAAAAGGAGGAGAAGAAGGAGGTTAAGATAAAGTAGAGACACTGTATAATTCATGGCTGACTCACAGTGTTTTCACGCAGGAGTCATGAATGATTCAAAGTTTCAACGGAACAGTAATAACTCAGTGATCGTGAGGAGAGAAACCACCGGGTTAGTGATCGTGTGTCTAGACAGAAGTTACTGAGCTCAGGAGGCGCCGGATCTGCAAACTACCGAGGAGACGATGGAGGAGGAAGAAGATTCCTGAGGCTGAGAAGAAGAATGAAGACGTGTGGAGTAACTTAGTAAAGAGTCAAACCTCAGCCATGATATTTACAATTAATCCTCATATTCCTTATTTCTGTTGAACCAGTCAGTTCATCTGATTTCTAACAATATAGATATAGTTTTAACTGAAAGGTTAAACTGCATTACTTATTTATTAAATCAAGATTTTTAAAATATTGCTTCGTTCTAATCAAGCTGAATTCTTGTTAGTCGTAAAATTAATCATCTGATAAATCTGATTCTGATTCTGATTCTGATTACATCTGCGGGTGTGAAAAACAAACTACACAATTTCAAAGTGAGAAAAAATAAAAAGCTTCAGAGGGACACACGTTATATTCAATAACTTTTTAAACTGTGATAGTAAATCAACTGTCTCACACACACACACACACACAAACACACACACACACACACACAC